ACATGTGAAAATCATCTCGCAGTTGGATTTTGTGACTATAAATTAACCGAACTCAAATAGAATTTAACGATTTCTTTATTAGAAACGAGTATTCATAGAGCATTTGTATTAAACATGGTAATACTTGTTATACTTTCAATCATCTGGTGTGTATTTTCTTCATTCCACACAACACGATGCTCTTAACAAGCAATAAAACGAATTTTATTAATGTTAACTGACCTTAAAAGTAGTCCGTCTATAAATCTTCATTGTGATTAGATATATTTCACCGAATTTTAGACATATTCTCAAATTATTATCATTTTAAGATTACCGGCATTTAATGACATTATAAATCAAACCTTGTCTGAAGGTTTTGGTCATTGTTTTTGTTATCATCGTCTCTCTTATCATTTATTTATGTTTCTTCAATGCATAATAATACGTAATTAGCATCTGTATCTGACATAATCTGCAAATATTTTCCAATAGAAAATAAAAAATTTCAAACAAAAACAAATCCCTTTACAGTCTCTTAACTCAATCGAAACGTTAGATATTTTCAAGGTAAACGGTAAGATAACAGTCTATATATATATAATAGTTGATTGATATATGATGGCCCATTTTTGTCTTTTAAGGGATATTTAGTATAAATACAACAATTAATCAAATTCAATACTTTAATATTAGTTAAGTGCTAAACATTTTGCAAGCAATTGTTCATACTGCAATCATATAAAATGTTTTAGAGTAGTTATTAACAATATGTCCAATTGTACATCTTAGATATTACAAATAAAAGGGCCATAATGCCCTAGATATGCTTTAATTTCTTTTTCTTAAAATCTTCCTTTTTTTATATAAAACATATTAACAAGTTTATTTTTTGCGAGGAGTATGAAGATTAAGATCTGGACAAGGTTTATATAATGCCGCAATGAATATAAATTGAATTAAATGGCGATTTAAGTTATGAATTATCTAATTATAGAAATGCGAAATCGCACTTGACAGTTAGACAACATGAAGGACCCTTACGCAACACGTTGTCTTATTTTTTCTTTGAATTCGTTCTATATGTAGAATAAAAAAATATTAATTCATTGATTTATGCATTTTATGAATACAACATTTCAGCCAAACTTTACTGGGACTAAATATAAATTGAATTAAATGGCGATTTAAGTTAGCGGCTTTGACATTCTGTAATACCTCTCTGGCGACCCAAACAAACAAATTAAATCATGTAAGCATACGAATAATAATAAAAGTAAGTACTCTGACTAAAATAGTATTATGAAATTTATTGTAATATGTTATTAATGCAAATTATTTATTTGATAACAGTGGGTATTTCACATAAGTGTTCATTTCGAAGCACAAAGTGGATATGTTTAAAGAAGAAAAACAATAAAAACTATCATTTAACTGAAAGCGCTATTATATCCATCAACTACATTTTATATGCAGTAACAAACTAAGTCTTTGTAGTGTAGACATAATCAGCTTGAAAGTAGCTTTAACATAGAACATTAGTATACTAGTTTTCACACAATACGTCATCTTTCACTCAGCAAACGTTACAATATTTGAAAGTCTGTTACAGTTTTGAACAACATGTCGGCATGTTTCCGACAACTTAGAGCGAAAATGAAGCACCTGTTTTGTTGAGGAATGAATATGAATGACGAAAAAAATATTTGACATGTTTATACACCGTAAATGAGGATTTATGTAAGCTTTGCATGAAAGTGCGAATAAAAGCAAATAATTAGTTTATATTGCAAATTTAATATCTTAATACTTTAAAAATAAAGGTTAAAGAGTAATACATGTATAATGTCTATTATTGTGAGCAAGGTATTTTTAAAACTTTTGTAAAAATAAAGTTTAAAAAATATTTTAGATTAAACTGATCGCAGAAATGCATGTAAGTAAATTAAAGTTAAATCTTGCTTATTTTCATGCAAAAATAAATACATCTCGATAATTCATCAATAAACCAGGACTGCATTTCGTAGCAGCATTTCTCTAAAATATCATCTTGTCTTAATTATAAGTTAATCGGTACAAAAAAAAATCTGCATTAATGGTTCTTAGCTGATATTGCACTGAAGTTAATACAGCATATGTCAGAAAGAAGCTGAGGAATATGAAGAATTTATAAACCATATGGTAGGAAAAGTGCGAATCGTGAAAAATACTGTTTTTTATTGTAAATAATATTATGATAAATACTTACGAAATTAAGTGACAATACTTGTATAATACTTACGTAATTAAGTGACAATACTTGTGTATAATATATTCAAACAACGTTAATAGCTTGTCAGTATCACCATAACGTATTTCCTTTTTCTTGTTCATGATTAGCACCTCGCACTATTTGGTATTTTCAATTCCCCAGTTGTGTTTTAGCTTTAAAATTGAGTGCCCTACCTTGCTCCTTCTTGATGTATTGTCTCGGTTTATGTGTATTATTTAAGCGTTCTAATTTATCTTCACTTTGCTCCCTTTCCCCATCCCCTTCCTCTTACAAATTTATAAAATTTCCCCCTCATTTGCCCCGTATGTCTGCCTCTGCCCTATTGGTGTCCATTTCAGTGCCGTTGCATTTTGAGATTGTTTGGACTGCGTTTCCTTTCCCTTGTTAATCTTTATTTTTATATTGATATACAAGAAACGATTGTTCAAATTTGCAATATAAGGAATAAGATATGTGCTATATCTTTTCTAAAGGTTTGATGTTCTATTTACTTACGTGTGTTGACTTATGAGGATATAAGAACCCTTTCCATTGATAGCTCAGGCAAGACAAACATTACTTTTTAGTCAGTCTTTTCCTTCCTATGGCATTGGATCACTTTCTTGTTGGAACGAGGTAAAAAGAAAAAATTAAAAAGATGTTAATTTTTGTGATACCTTACCAGACAAAGGCGTATGACTATCTACGTCATAAACATGATACTGTTTAAATAAAAAGTGCTATTCTTGACGTCAGAGCTGCTCCAACTGTTCCTTTTCCCTTATAAGGAGGTACATGATTTCTACATTTCATTCGCTATATTAATATCCCAATTACAATATTTATAGAATAAATTATTGTTTAAATGAAATGTCACCTTATTTTAATGTCATAATATCTAAATAATTCTTTAAAAATATTTTTGGTTGACTTAACGTCGCACCAACACAGTGCAGGTGATATGGCGGAGGGAGACCTCAGGTGCCCCAACTTGCATTATTTCATGCACGAACGCCCTTGTGTAGTTCTCAATAAGATTGTTTTTAGCTCTTATATAGGTAACAAGTCATAAATATCTTACGAACAGTGCTAATTTGATTTCTTCTTTGTAATTAAATCTATTTTTGTTTAATGCATTATAATTATTATAATTAATTCTGAGCCAAAATAGATACAGTAATTATAATAAATGATCTTGGCACGTGGAATGCTTTGTAACATTACAACAAGTTTTCTAAATTATGTCAATTAACTTTATACCTCTTTTATTGTAAATCATCATTTAAAATACCTGTTTAACATGTAAATTAGTAAATTCGTAATATGCACTGGAAATGTGTACTTGAAATAACATGCTTATAAAATTCAATTAAATTTATGAAAAATACATTAAATCAATTATTAAGATTAAATATTTGCCGTTCATATAGCCATTTTAATGCTTAATATAAAATATATATAAAGATATTATTTAATGGATACAAAAAAATACTTTGGTATTTATTTAGACGACAAATAGAGTTTGTTAATATTTTAGAATTAAATTTGAAAATAAAAGATAAATTATAATAAATATGAGTATAAACACAATATTATTCAATAATTGAAAGAAAAGTATTTAATAGATGTAACATTACTTAACATGTTGGAAAATCATCAAAGAAACTAAATCAGTAACTCTTTATTGATTCAAATGTTTTTGAAATATTTTTTTCAACTGATATTCGTCCTATTCTGTTTTATCCGTCAATGTCTATTTTTAGACGCTGCTCACAATTATACGTTACTAAAATAACATTTCGAATAAAACCTGAAGCCAAAATAGCAACCTGTTAGACAAACAAAACTGAACTCTATCCTGCCAGAACACATAATTAAAATAAACCGCTGCCAATATCTTCTCTGTAGGTGCTCGTAAGAAAGGTTGTGGAAACAAACAAAAGTATCAGCGTGGTATAAGCAGGATTTCTTAAGGTTAAGCTTACTAGCACTGGTTCATGTTTTCAAATATAAAAAAGGTAATTAAAATATTCTTCTGATGCTGATATTATAAACATATTAATTGCTCATGTGCCCTAACATATAAATTTTGTTAAGAATGCTAAGAGAGTCCTTTGCTTCACTTGAGTACTGTTCATAAGTTTATCTAACATAATTGGAAAAAGCTGTAATCTGGAAGTTTTTCTCGTTTATTTGTCTTCTATATATGGTTGCAACCATAGATTTAACAGTAAATTTAATTCAAAATGGTAAAGTTTCAGTCACCTGTCATATACAAATAATCAAACAAGTTTTCTACATTCAGCCAAGACAAAACAATGAAATGAAAGTGCTTGATCAGTCATTGAAGTTTGATTTCATTCTTGGAATATTGGGACGTAACTAAACGTCAGCTTCGTAATTTGGTGGCAAGAAACTTATAATTTCTACTTAGAAAAATGATCGTCACGTCCTCGCTCCTCTCTTGTGCCGTCCGTTTTGTTCGTTACCTTCTTGGGTGCCTTAACGACTGTTCTGTGTTGTTTGGTACTGTTGGAAGCTGTTGGAAACTGTGTCATTTCTTTTATATATTTTTAATATATCTTACTTCTTACGCACACTTTTTTAACAACTTAAAAAGGTAATTTAGTAATATCATAATTTTGCAATACTATATGGACACGATATGTTAATGAATAAATTAATAAATAATGTGGAAAATAAACATTCTGATTATTGAGTAGGACTGAAATTGCATAGCTACTATTTAATAACAACACACGAAAATACATGTTTATTAACATTTTAATGATAAAAGAGCATTGAATACAAGTGTTTGCAAAAATATACAACCTTCGAATATTATACAAACCAAGTCATAACGAAGAATGATGTTTATTTATATCATTCTTGAATGCTGAAAATCAGTTTCATATTTCAAAAATATATAAATATTTTCGCTTAAGGCACATTTTGTTTAAAGGCAAATTGATAAACATGTGTTAAATAGTATCACATTTTATTTTATTTTTAAATACACATAAAGACAAAACAATACAATTTGAATATTTATTCATACTTTCTGCTAATTTTTTTCAAAACAAATCTTATTCATGTAATTCTATAAGTTATGAATACTAATTTATCCAAACACGTTGCTTAAAAACAATACTATTAATATATTTTCTGCAAACCATATCGTAAAAAAATGAGATGAAAACAAGTCATACACCAATAGACTAGTGAAAACGATTTATAATAAGAACTATATATAGTAGGATTTGGAAAAATGGAATATAAAAATTGCTTAAGGAATGCACCACAATTATTTCATCAAATGTTTAAATACAAACTGCATACATGGTTTTGTGTTTTGTTTTAATTTTGTCAAAATATGAAAGAAACATTAAAGATTCAATGATTTAGTTATATATTACATTTGACAACAGCTCCGTGACGTCATCTATTGTTGCTCTTTGCAGAACGTATAGAACTTCTTCTAGATGCTGTAATCCCTGGTGGCACCAAACTGACTGAGGAGAAGACATAAAAATAAAACTTTGTATGACGAAAAACATCTATTATATTATGAAATTAATGATTGATTAATTGCAAACTACTTAAGTTTTTATGGGCTTTTAGAGACAACGGACTTAATATATTGAAAAATGTTAACTATAACATACTGTATAATTAATAACTAATTATAACAAGCAATGCTTACCTCTTCTCTGTCGCCTTGGGAAATTTTGATCAAAGGAATGTCTATGTGGCGTTAGACTGTCACGTGACTGCAATGAAATTTCTTCATCGGAAACTTTATCATCAACAGTTTCGTCTTTAATTTTATCAATGCTTTCTATAGATAAGGTTGGGTCCTCCGAGGCATTTGGTGATTCTTCAGTAAAAATGACGCTGATACCAACCTTACCGTTCTTACCATTGTCTAGAATGAAAAGGTCACAAATGTCAATGCTACATATAAATGACATTGCTACATATAAAACTGCAATAAGATGAGTTTTAATCTCGATTTTAAACTTGCCTTAATTTAACGGATTTCATAAAAACGAACATACGTTTTATTTGAAAGTAATTGAAAATGCAAAAGACATAACAATTTAAAGACAAGTTTATTCTTGACCAAAATGTATTAACAAATAACAACTGTAACATTAAAAGAGAGTGTTCTGTAAAATAACATTTCTGAATTTAATCATTTATTGAATAAATGATTTAAAGAAGTATTGTCAGATACTTTAAATTTAAAATTATCTAACATGTAATATACTGTATTTTATCCAAAAGTAAGGAGAAGTTGATAAACTTATATCAAGATACATTTTACAGAAAAATGCCTTTCTGAAAATCTACTTAATCAATCATATATGCATATATAAATTACAATTCTAATGCAATCATCCACTAAGCTTTTCATTCTGATATTGATTGGCATAAAAGCAAGATTAACGTTCGACCTGATAAATTTCATCATTAGACTGTGCCGGCTGACGTTGTTTGGCCGACAATTTAAGGTTTTTGACATAAGTTAATAAACAGTATATATATATAGAGCCTAGTCAGACTTGACTTCTTGAATGTTCAGACTGGCCTGTGCTTGGCTGGTAATCAAGACTTATAAGTTTTGATTCTAGCAGGTTATGGTTAAATGAAATGGTATGACCTTAAGCTTTCTATTTAAAAGATATTCCTGAACATATTTCATTATAATGGGTTGTAATTTAAAAAGATGAAAATAAAAAAAACTATGACATGTTGTCTAAATTCTTGTATCTGACGATGAAAGATGTTATCATAATATGTAGCTGGTGGATTAAAAACAATGACGATTTTTTATACTTTGTTTATAAGAAAGCAAAATTTTGGTTTGCCTTTTTCACTATTTATATAAAATTAAAACATAATAGAAGCCCGAATACGATCTGGCTTCGATGTAACAGTCTATGCCAATACCACGAAGTATAAGAAAAAAATGTTGCCAAGAGCAATTATGTATGTATGTTTTCTTAATAAAAATGTACATTTAACAGACACAAGTATACATTCAAACATTTGCAGAATTTAGTTTTGATAAACCTTTTGATAGAATTATTTGTTTTTTTAAATAATGTACAGCAACTGCTTTTGTAAAAAAATAAAGAGAGTGGAAGGAAGAATATATTTGCTAAACAAAGATTGATCAGTTTATGTGTTTTGACAGAACAGAAAATTCAGTTTGAATAGGAAACACCTCAGCTTATGCGTACATTTGTGCGATAGAAAAACAATATAATTATTGATTTATTAGACGAATATAAATCAGATGACTAATCATATAATAGTTGATACAAAGTAATAGTCTATAGTGTACTGACAATTTTTTATCAATAACTGTTCAGTTGAAAGAAAATCTTTCTCAAACACTGACAAAGGACTCCTCGAAATTTTAATTAGCACAGTTGTTAAAGCACATTGAAGGTGTACTCTTTCAATTGTACTAAAATGACTTCTGGAATCTGTGTAAAATCACTTAGTATTATGGAAATACAGATGGTCCTCTATATTTTGACAGATGTCCTAATAAGCATAAACTAAACATAGGTCCATCAGTTAGGTCCATAAGTTTGTTTAGAAACTAAATTTATAATTTTGCAAAACATTTTGTTTATTCCTTGACAAAACAATTTTTAATTGTACATAACCTAAATAAATGTCATACGTTCTGCCAAAAATGCATTTTGAAAAGATTTGCATTTGCCAACCTTTCTAGATTTTTATACTATATATTGTATAGCTCAGCATTAAGATGAGCGAACGAAAGAAATGCGATAGTCATATTATACATCTATATAGATCTGGTTCAGCTTCGCCAGTGAATAAGAAAGTCAATAAGACAATCGACAATCTTTTGATTTGGTTTTCAGTGTAGTCACCTATAAAGAGCAAAAAATCATTTAGAAGGTAATATTAGGACAAATATTTTACACAATAAAATATTTAAATTTATAGAAAAGAGGGAAACTAAATTCGTAAAGAATGTCAAAAACGACAAAATTGAAAATAATGCAGGTACGTTCTGATTGGGTCCGTTCATGGTCATACACGGTACTGGAAAGTGCAAAGTACCGTCCGTATCGGCTTAAGTAAAATTCATCATTAAAACATGAAAATGAATATCTAACAATATTTTCTGTATTTTTCCTTACAAATGTAAGATATGCATATTGTAAAGTACCCTTCATAATAAACTTTATAAGTGTATAAAGTCGTTATTGCTAATTAATTAACCCTTAATCTAATGAAGTGATCCTTCTTTGAATTGGGAACAGTCCCTTTATAGCCAAATATAATAATTGGGCCACCAACAGTTTAAACATTGTGCAGGGTAAAAGCTTAACAACTGAGAAAACACATGAACAATGTTCAACACTTGTTATCGACATCTCAATATATTTCAATTGCCTTCTTTTGTAGGGGAAATTTTCAGATTCGTTGCATTGTTTAACTTATGTGTTTGAATACCTGAGTTTAAAATTATATTGTTTAAATTGAGTCAGTAACGAAACAAATTTAAATGAAGCTTAATGTCAAAATATGTAAAAACTTCCCGCCAAATATTTATCAATTCTATTTGGAACTATAAAAAGCGCATGTAGAGTGAAGCATTATGCAATTTACATTCTAAAACATGCCAGATATAATTTGTTTTACGTTTCATCACCTTATTACACTATGTGTAAAAATACATTTATGAGAACTACATACTTTGTCTATTCTTGATATTACTTAAAGATATATTCTTATTCACAAACTGTTGTCTAAGCTGTGTATGCAATATATTAACCAGTTTTCCAAGACGGTTCTCTATTCACTACAGTGTGCTTTCTGACGTTTACAAAACACGATAATGTAAAAACATTCTAAATATTACCAAAACTATGACAAAATCGCACAATGACAATAAACAATCGTTTTGTTTTATGTATCAATAATATCATCTAGTCATACCTACATATAAAATAAAATGAGACGTATACAATACTATACTATTTCAGAGAAGTTATGCCGCCACTTTGTCTTCGTTTTCCTTGGCAAGGGAACTAGATTCCAAATACATGATTTAATTCAAAGACAACATAGAGAAATTAGAAAGTATTTAACTGTGTGTATTTTAAAATTGAAACATTAATTACTGTTTGAGAACATTTCACAACTGATGTACAACACTCGTTAATCTTCTAATTACCTTCCATATTTTGTGTTGTTTTTTATACAATTCAATAAGAAGCATTCATGATATCAATTCGGTGTGTTATTGCAATATGATATGACTGTAAAAAATTCCAACAAAAACAAAATGTCGGCGTAACACTCAAAACACAAATATATATGGACATGTTACTAAATTCATGACCTGGGAAAATGCCTTATTTGTGGTGGCTAAAAAAACCTTTTTTACTAAAATTGAAAGAAATGCCAACAAAATAAGGCATTTTCCGTGTATAGTATAATGTTTAATGCTAGATCTATAATACATATATATACAGTTAGAATATTTCCATCTCCCGTGAGTAAATTCTTACCATTAGCCCTTTTTCTCTTCTTCAATATTAAACAGAGTTGTTTTTTTCTTTCGCCCACCTGGACAAGAACCAGTTACATTGAACCGAATTTGTGTTGAATTATATATTACCGTATTAAAAATATTTATTGATTTGATATATATAAAAATATTTTAGTTTATAAACAAATATACTATGAGGATTATTTTGTATTTTGTTTCATAGAACTAAAAACACAACAGATTAGTAATAAAACTTACGTAAGTATAAAGTAAAATGAAATGATTAAGTATTTTACATGTATTATCAAAGGACTATACGAAAGAACAAAATGCTTTGATTTTTACAACTAAATTGCGATGAACTTTACTTTTGTACTTATTTTATATACATGTATCACTAAAATAATGACAAACTTGATCATTGCATATTGATTGACAGGAATATATTTACAGCCAAATTGATAAGGAAGAAAACTTGCTAAAATCAATAATGAATGAACCCATTTTTCCTTGTAATAATATATACTAGTAACAAAAGTACAGGGAAAATTCACGATGGATATTCGTCTTTTACACTATAAATTATTTTGGAAAAATATTGGTGTCTTGTAAAACTGAAAATAAGAATTACGCCATAACAGTAGTTGTACTTCAAAACAAAATCGTAAATAAGTTTAATTTTCAAAATAGTTCTGAGAGGCAGTTACTTTTATTATTCCAGATATTTAAAATGCTATAAAAATTAAGTTTACTTTTATACAAACAAATGGGGTACCTGCATGAAGCCATTGGGTCACATATTAAGAAATTTAGAAAATAGCACCAATTAATACAATACTTATGGGGTAAAGATATTGTTTGATTACAAATGTTACGAAGATTTGTCATCTAGTATTATAAAGACATAAAATAATGATAAAATATATAAACTATTTTATAAACATTTTTATTAAAAAAATGTTTGCATTAGAGTGTAGTTAATTGAAGCCTTAAAAAGTTTTATGTTCGGTGTTAACGTGTGATAACAGTTAACAAAGGTAACATTGAACAAGCAAACGTTTAATCTGTCAGTAATCTAAGGGAAACTTAAAGCTACAAATTAAAAGTGGTGGTACAAATATGTCATTAACCGACTGCTACATATAATTAACTTATAAGCTCTAACTCCAAGTAAAGAACGCTTACACAAAGGCGGTGCTGACTTCCGTTTCCCCCTTACTGATAAAATAAAGAAAACCTTCTAAAACTCACATATGAATAATAGGGAATTTCAAGTGTAAGCTAAATATCGAAAAAAAAATACAGAAAGGAATGCTTTGATAAAATTATGGTATGTTTTAAATAAAGATAACCATTTTTTCAGCAGTTGTGCTTACTCCTACAGTGGAGTTTTTTGTTTTCTTACTATGTTTTAAACCTTGAAAAAAAACATAAAACTTATTACTAATGTCCAGGTTTTAAATAAAAGACAGGTCTTAAAACATTGAAGATTGTGTATCAAAAATAAAAATGTTACTCGTGATCACTGATAAGTAGATTTCATTAAAAATATTTAAAGTGGAAATCTTGTTTAAAACTCATTAGAAAAACGAAGAAAACTGATAAAAACAAGCATTTCCTTAATGAAAGAAATCAAACATATATGTAAAACGCAAAATAGGACATTTATGATAAAATTAAATATTGAGAATAATACTTACAATAGGTTTCATTAATTTCCTTGAATTTATCTGAAATGCAATGAATGTTTATAAATTATGTAAATGAATAAATGTTACACAGTTGCCTATTGAAGAAATACTTGACTCATGTTAAAAAAGAAAGATATTGTTTCGAAAACTTCATAAGTCTCATTACAATTTGTCCAGTTTGAAAGAGTATAATTCTAAAGCATTGATAATGAAAATAATGTAACTGACAATATACTTTTGTTCATAAATAATAATTATAAATTTTATTTTCTTCTAAACACCAATTCCTGAACCAACAGTTGCACTGTTATTATATCATATTATGATACAGTCTAAACATTAAAAGTTAGGATTTAATCAAAAACTGTACATTTGCTTATCTGTGTAAGTACTTTGTTTTAATTTTTATCAATTTTATTTGATTCATTTATCTATCAAAGACTTAAAATTACTCAAATTCCGCAATTGAAAACAATTGTAAATTGTTATCTACACTCTTTTCACAGTTTGTATGAAATATTTGCTGAATAACTACAATGATATTACAGAAACTATTCTAATTTACTATACAATTGTATTTCAAATATTAATCAGAGCAAGAGGTAGTTGCAACAATAAGAAAAAAATGAACCATCATTGCAAATTGACGAGATTTAAACATTATTTTATTACATTTGATCACCAATGATTTTACCAGACGGTTTTTTATCTGCTTCTTGAGATATCTTTAATCTTGAGTTATGTAAAAAGCCATCGGGGCATAGCGTTATTTTCAGTTATGAAAGATTTAATTATGTTAACACACAGGTTTCTGCCTTTTGCCAACAGCTAAATAATCACACAGTGTTTAACCACTGACTTGGTAATCGTCCAAAGATCTCGACCTAACCTAATTAGTGTAATTAAAAGAACGGATTGGTGCTACGAAAGCAAAAACAAAATTCCAAAATGTATATTTCTTTTTGTAATAACAAAATTTCTGGGATGGAGTGAAAGTGAAATACAAAAATACAATTTAACCTTTGCAATATAGCACACTTTACAGAGTGACATGTAATGAAGTTGGTTGTTGCTGTTACGTGTTGCTATAGGGAATAAAGATTTATTGTGAATTGTCACTTTTACAAGGGAATGAAACTGTTGTTATCAAGAGATGATTATTCTACAGAGGGCCGTCTTCCATATTTAAAACACGCTTCTATTCTACTATTTAATTAAGGTTGGAATTCAAGTTTTAAAATAGAAAACTCATATAACACTTGCTGTACGTATGGATGTGTTTACACATGTTGTTCGTATGGATGTGTACACATTTTTTGTACATATGGATGTATACACATATGTTGTTCGTATGGATGTGTACACATTTTTTGTACATATGGATGTATACACATATGTTGTTCGTATGGATGTGTACACATTTTTTGTACATATGGATGTATACACATATGTTGTTCGTATGGATGTGTACACATACGTTGTACGTATGGATACGAGCATGTAAAACACATGTACAATGTTACAAATGCAGATTAAAATCTACACACAAAAAAACACATTGAAGAAAAGATATGGTTTTCACGTTTTTGCCTGAAAATGAATTTCAATGAAGACGATCATCAAAATATAACATTAAACGTAGAGCTATTCAATCAATACACCTTACCGTAGAAACAGATTAAAATCAAATAAATTTATTTTTATAATGTCTGAGTGATGAAACATGAACATGCCTAAGGGGGCTTATTTCTCTGGAAGATATTCTCAGAATTTATGACATATTCATTACCTTTTAAAAAGTAAAGTTATGTTCAAATTTTATTTGGAAAGCAATAAGTGTTGCATGACAGATTTGTAAATATCAAACAAAACTTGCTCATCTGCATTAAATGCATTAAGATGCAAAATGTAAAAACAGCACAACAATTAAAACGAAGCAGATCTGGAAAATGTCTTAAAGACAGGTGATATAAAATAAAGACAGTTTGGTATGATTTTATAGCTATCTATGAAACAAAATTATATTTGTAAGCAAATTTAGTGCAAATGGAAAGTACGAACATGAACAACATGAATGAAAGTCATGAGCATTTAATTTCTGACTATTTTATAGAGTATTCAAACCATAATGGCGAAACATACGATAAAAGTTACAAATGCATGAGCACTAATGCTGCTTTATTACAGACGTATGTAAAGAATTTAAAAGAAAATGCCACTTCTTTAGGCAGGAATTCTTAATTTATTAAGTGAAAAAAAAATAATGCGTTCACTAACAAATAACTTAGCTTCTGTTTTCAATTGGTTCAACAATCATGATTTTGCGAATTTTAAAACAATGCTCTTACAAATTTAAAATGTTTGGTTAAGTTTATCAAGATACAAAGAAACATACGAGTATATTATACATACAAAACTCAATCCTTCTTATCAGTATATACTCTTAAAAGACGTTGATGTATATTATACTTAATTTTGTCATTGAAATATTTACGACAGGTTAACAAAAACTATTACAAGCGAAAAAGAACAGAAAAACATATGAAGAAAGATATTACTGTAAAACTACAAATACTTTCACTTTAATCACGATTTTGAGCTGTCCTTTTGAACACCAAAATTCATGCGACCTGTAAACAAACACAAAACACAGTTAGGGAATGTACAGAACATGTTATACTTGTACGGAAACCATGCATGGATTAGTAAGACTTATACCGGGATAGCTACCGAAGGCGGAATCCTCACTACTGGTCCTTGGAAGACTGTTGTTCTTTGTCGCTGTAGACTCTTCACTTGTTGTATCAGCTACGTCAGGGTCAACAAGTGCATTTGCGGCACTTAGAAGCGCTTGTTTCTTTGCTTTCTTTGGAAGTTTTAGGCGTGCTTGAGCATGTGTGTAGTATAATGTAAAGTTGCTGACAATCACAGGGACTGGTAATGATAACATCAAAAGACCACTTACAGCACAGACTGTTCCAATTATATAGCCGAGTGCTGTTCTAGGATATAAATCACCATAACCTACAAGGACAGAATGTTTTAAGGCTTTCATTATAGTAAGTTGTCTTTTATTTTTATCATTTCTTGCGAAAATATTGTAGGATACACAATTTATCAAAATGAGCACATAGCAAATGCTCTATATCAATTCCAAGGATGTTTGATAATGGATTTATTTTGTACAATTTTACAAAAAAAGAATGTTCATTTGAGCTAAGGCTTAAAAACCGAAAATCAATTTCTAAAAACCAAATTGAAAAGATTAATATTATTTATCTTCTGCAAATATTAATATGCATAATTTTCTTGAATAAATATCAAACATAATATGTTGATCTGCCTGTATTGCTTAAAACTTGAATGCATATAATTACCAAATTTTCTGAGAAAAGACGTTGCCATGATGAATTTTTGTAACTTTTGAAAGATATACTATTTATAATATAGAAAACAAACTCATTATATTAGTAAGCAATAATCTCTAGACACTGTCTAATATCTTAGCTTCTTTTAAACATTATATATCAACTGACGTCATGGTAGATATGATAGGTGCTTATGATATTATTTTGAACTTTATAAATTGAATTAACGCCAATAATATTGACGTGTTTGCATATAATGCATTCGAAAGATTAAAAGAAACAAATATTGCTGGTCAATCAGATTGATATAATGCTTTAAAATATAAATTACGAAAGCTATTAATCATATTAATAAATAACATTGTCTAAAATTCAAAATATCATTAAAATTGCTTACCTAATGTTGTCATGGTAACAACTGCCCACCAAAATCCTCTTGGAATATTTGAAAATGAATTAACTTCCGCTTCGTGCACTTGTTCAGCATAATAAATCAAACAGGCAAATATCAATACACCAATTATCAGCACCAAAAATAGTAACAATAATTCCTTGGCACTTGCTTTTATTGTATGTCCTAAGATTTTTAGTCCACTGACATGGACCGTTAGCTTAAAGATCCGGAATATCCTTATCAACCTTAGTGCGTTCATGAACCTGAACGCTACTGAACTTCTGACGTCACTTTCTACTAACAGCATGATGTAACAAAAGAAACACGGAATGACGACACTAATGTCTATCCAGCTAAACACTTGTTTTAAGTAATGTTTTCGGTCGGGACAGAATACAAGTCGAAGAATATTTTCGACAGTGAAAAAGAAAACACAAATGTATTCAATTATGTCTAGAAAGAGCATCGGTTTGGTCAATACCTCTTTTTCTCTGACGGTCAACTTGGTAATGTTAATATCTGGCATCACAGATTCGCGGAACATGATATGTGATTCGAGACAGAAAGACATTATGGAAATAATCAGAAATGTGAAAGACACAAAGGCAAATATCTGAAAAAAAGAATAAGATACAGAAATATACTGAGACATGTAGTACATGTAATATCATTTGGGTTTTTCCTTTTTCAAAGAAAACATTTTTATTAGAGCTTTTACTATGTTGAAATATAATATTCTTAATGAAAAAGAACACTTAAGAATACACAAGTTTGCATAATACTCAATTTTGATGTACAAAAACATGTTGGAAAAAATCTTGATTATTGTTATCGAAAGAAAATATGTATTTAAAACAAACTGAATGTAGACCTAAAATTTAAAATTACGGCAGAATACAATGCCAAGTTGTGTTTTAATAATACCGAAGCTAAAAATATAATTACATGTCATGATGTCAAAGAAATTATATATCATTGATATATTTTTAATTATAAAGATTTTACAGTTAAAATAATGTGTTTATATTGTTTTGATAAAAGAAATAAACAAATGTGCTAGAACCTACCTTTGCTGACGTTGAAGACGTAGGTTCATCAAGTATTTTCCATATCTTTGGTTTAAACCTTGCCCAGAAAGATTTACTCTCCAGACTATGCTCTTCAATTATACCAAACTTTTCACGAATGTCTTCTAAATGGCATGATTCCGTGTCTGACTCGTTACTCATAACATCGCCTAGAACCAAATACATTTAAGCAAGTATTAATAATAAATACTCATTTTTAGTTGTTTTGTGTGTTTTTCTTCTATGATTAGTAGCTCTATTATTTTTGTTGTTGTTGCTGTTTTGAGAATGATTAAATAATTTGTTATTTTTCAAACTATTATTATAGCCTCAAAAAGGAAATGAGAAAGATCCATATATGAAACATTTTATAGCAACCTTTTTTTCTTTTCTTTTCTTATTTATTTTTCAAAAATTACTAACTGCTATTGTTGAAATATTTCTGAATTTAAAAAAAAATATTTAAGGTAGAAGTATATTTACAATAATTCAATTCGTCTTAAATTCGTTAATCAATATTTTCTAATGTAGTTACCTAAATATATGTTTTAGGAATTATATGTTTTTGCCCTTCAATTGCATGGTGTAAAACATATTAAGTTTTATACGATAAAACTCTTTTAAGGTTATTTGCACATTAAAAGGAAGGGAACTATATGTTCAAATCATTGTTTTTATTTTACAAAGCACCCTGTCACCATTTTAAACCTTATTATTTAGTCTTGTCTGTTTATTTATGTTCTTTCCATTTAAGTGTACATGTCATGGACAAACGTTTGTCTATATATCCCTAAATATATCTCGTGCTAAGTTTGTCTATTTACTGATAAAATTCATTTTTTAAATAATTTAAAATTGAATCACATAGAGAAGTGGTAATTACAAGCTACCGTCTACGCCTAACCAGTATGCAACATTTAAACATAAAAATGGTGCAATTTTGAATTTAGAAACATCCGCAGATATGTTCATACGACGTTTATAATAATGGAGCCCTTCACTCTGACACTTCCGTGTCAATCCATGAGCGGCGTATTGTCCTCAAGTGCTGTAACCGAGAAAACTATGGGCGGAACTAAATAAATGGAATTATGAAAGCGGATCAGAGGTAAGCCTAGTATCTCTGCTTTTTTTCTTATATCTGCACTCGTTAACAGTCCTTTCATGAAAAAAATCCAACGTAATTTATCGTATTATAAATGTGTTTACAGATAAACGAAATTACACTAGCTTATCACAGAACGTATAAAATGTAAATGCCTAACAGGAGTAATCAGGCATTCCATATGTTTTTATAGAGACCGTCAAGAAGCAATTAATATAAATAAAAGCCATGATTGAATTATTTTACAGAACATGCTTCATCTAAACAATGTTGTGATGAAGATTGTTTTCCTAGATGAACTGGTAATAACCCTAATCATTTCATCAATTATCACCGACACGTGCTAACATTCGCCTGGTATACCATACACTAGGTATCTCATAGATATTATTCCAATATAACAGCCTAATAGTTTACAATAGAATACACCTATCAAAGCAATTTCATAGATGAAAATTAAACGGCAGCAGTCCTTGAAAATGTGAAAAAGACTGTAATGTTTGCAATTGTTAAATAAAGGCAGCGATGTTCTTGCAATAAAAGAATGTTCTCAGATAAGTATAATAGATAGAGGATAAATAATGAAAATCATTTGTAAAGGCAATCTCAAATAACAAATATTTGCTTATAGATTTGGTGTTATTATCATATAATGAGCATAATTTGACCATTTAAACATAGACGATATGGATAACAATGATTTTCTTTTGGCGAAACATTATTAGTCCGGTAAAACTGTTGGATATCAGTTATAACATACTATAGACGATGCATATTACTTGTTTGTATTTGCTATCGTTAACGTTCATATATTATTTTGTTAAATATCAATGTTCTTATTAGAAGACAAGAAATAGTACAAAACAATAGTAAATGCCTACTATAAATAACTAATGCAAGTATCGCCTAAGATCTAAGAAAAATTTTATATTCAAAGTATCTTAAAATGTGATTTACGCATAAAATAAGCATTTCATTTGTTAATTGAGATAGTTAAGTTAATATATTTTCCTGTATTAAAAGATTTCACTTTTATTGTTGCTTAAAATGTAAAACATTTATGAGCATCTGATACCGTATTTACAAACACAATTACAATTGGAAAAAGCAACCGGCAGAGCGTTATTTGGGGTGTTACTATTTAAATATATAACACATTAACTGTGACATTTTATACAAATATTTAGACAGTGATAACAGAACGAATGTCAAGATAATTAAGCAAATAAATAATACTTATTTCAATTAGTTAACAACTATGACATTAAGTCGTAATTATGACACTTATATTAAACCCACATAGCAGCGTTTAACAATAATGTCATAAAAACGTTTTCGCGATGTTACTGTCACTTTTCCAGGGTGAAAATAAATGATATGCCATAATGTTAATAGGGAATATGTCTGATTGTATTTATTCATATATTTAATTGTATTAGCATGTATTACATTACATTACATTACATGTATAGCATAATTGTGATGTAAAATACCAGTTGAACAATATATTGTCCTAGAAATTGTAACTAAATGAGACCTTGTGTTTCTTTGCAGACTTGTAAATATAAATACATGTTAATTTGAATGTAGGCATTTCGGATTAAATGTTTAGTTCGACAGACCCAAGAAAATTGTTCAGATATAACCAGATCAATTCATGCATAGGATTAATTAAAAATTTTAACTCACTTCAAGCTATTTTCCTACAAGTTGGTAGACAGACCGAGCGCTTGAGTGTATTTTCACGTGTAATTTTTAACAAAAATACATAAAAGGGAAGAAATGTTATACGGCATATCACGTGACGTCAATAAACTAAATGGTGTTTTAAACACTATGTCTGCACCTAATGTTGTCAATTTATAGAATTGCAATTTAAAGATTGCGATCAAGCATACATGAATTGTTGCAGTTCTTTGTAATTGTATAATTTGATACATTGTTTTTGTACATAAAATATGTATAAACATATCATAATTATCATATGGAAAAGAGAAGCTTATTACACCTAAATTCATATAATAAGCGAGCTAAAGTTTACGTACCAAAACGAATTTTCTCGCATAGCGTTCTTTTATTAAAAAATCATATATACTTTTGGGAATAAGTTCTTTAAATTGAAACAGTTGAATGTCACAACGAGACACTTAAATTTGTTGTATAACAATGCGAGTTTTGTATTAAATTGTTTTACTCCTGCAAAACAATCATATTTTCAATATTAAAAAAGGTTCGTAGGAAAGAATAAATTTTTCAATAATAGCTAGTCTGATTACTAGTTGCTGAATGGAAAAAATAAGAACATATGACCTGTATAAACAGTCTGCATATTCTGACAGTGTAACAAACAACAGTGCGTTATTAAGACTAATATTATTGAAATATATAAGTAAGACATTAACTATGCCAGTTTTGAGAGAAACATTAGCCAGTATTATTTGTATGCATGTCAAAATAATGTAACAATAACGTAGAGCACTTATATCAATTAGTGAATGGTCGTGACATTATGCGTATAATTATGACACTAACAATAAATGGCAAAGAAACAAAAAATGTCGTTCATATGTTTGCTTAACGATATTGTCAATTTTCCATTGTTGTACGAGTAATAAGTTTGCCAACATGTCTGGCTGTATTTATTTGTTTAATCAACTGTATTATACGCAACTCTAGGTTTCTGTTTTTTCTCTATTTTTATTGTCACATCAACGTTATGTGTACCGTGTGGCGGGTGTAAAAATGTCTCTCAGTACATTTAATTAAAGATATAATATTTTCGATCCTTGAAGTTCGTTCTGAAGGACACTATTGTTGAGTATTCATTTTATGTACGTCCATGAACAGGCTCAATCGAATCGAACCTGCAATATTTTCATTTTTGTCCTGTTTGGCTTTCTTTGTGGATTCTGCATTTCCTCTATTTAAAAGGCAAGAATGAATGTCAATTCTCGAATGCATTGACCTAGCTGGTTTGATTTATTTTACTCTACTAATTGTAAGAAGTCTAGTAAAAAAAGCTCATAGTTCAGACCTAGGGATAAAAGTTACAAACACTTTGACAAAGTATATAGTTCAAGCTGTTAAATATCATGAATGAAATGCTGAATTATCCTCAGCCATCTTATCGGGGTCGGTGTATGCTATTCAGTCGGTACTTGTGATCATGGTTCTGCCCAGTTGGGAACATTGCAAGTCTTTTAAAGAAATTTAGCGTTGTAAGGGTTTATTCATTGAATGCAAACATATACGGAATGCTTTCATTAGATACAATATTGGGAAAAACTAAACAAAAACTAGACTGTTATTAAATTGGTATTGATAAAAGGTTTTTTTTCAAATGGTACACTTGTCCTGATTATATCATTCAATTCTATAGAGGATTTCTGAATGTAAAAGTTGTGTGCTATAATATATCACAATCAGAGGCATGCTATATATCTAAAATCAGAAGTACCAGCTTAGCAAAGCTCATCGTTAATCATATTTATAAATATAGCACCTTAAAAATTAAAAACGATTTTGCATTTTGAAGATGCAGGACAGTTTTGTGCATTCAGTGCTTTAATTATTGAAAGCTTATTGTTAAGCGTTATGGGTGTTATAATCCATTTTATACATTATTTTCAGATAACATAGAAAATATCAGGATTCCTTAATAAAACACAACACGGCAAAATTTAAAATGTTACTGGCTCGGTTTGATTGAGTCTGTTCATGGACGATACTGGAAAGTGCAAGCTACCGTCCACGCCCCCTAGCACCGTCACAAGCAGAATCCAACATTTAACGTGAACTCGTAAACTTTAAATTTTGAAAAATCCGCAGATGTGTTCATATGGCGGTTATCATGGAACCTTCAATGTGACACGTAAGTGTCATTCCGTGAAAAGCGGCATATGGTCCCAAAGTAAAGAAAAATGCATGTACTTTAAACGAGAAAAACAATGACGTAAATAAAGTGAGAGCGACCGACAATTCATGATTCCTCAACAACGTAAGTCGTATAGGTATTTTCAAAGGTCAAATAATCATTTAATAAGACATTATGGGAACTACGCCAAT